CCCCCAACAATGCCAACCCAGCGCCAGTTCAAGTCACAAACCCGCTACACCTCCGGCAAGCTGGATGGAGACGCGGTGCTGAGCCCAGACGCAATTCAAACGCTGCGACAGGGCGAAACCAAGCCGATCTGCTACAGCCCAGGCGGGCAGACCACCAGGCGCCCAGCAGATCTGCTGGAGCAGGTCGCAAGCAGAACGACGTTTCAGGGAAACCAAGCGAGTTCACCCCAGCGCTTACTGGTTACTGCCTGGCCCAGGTACTCCATGGGCAGGAGCAAGGTGCTGGCAGAACCACAGCAACGAGAGCTGGCGGGCCTTGAGGGGCTCCAACCGTTTCTGAAGAAGGACTAAAGGGGCTACAGAGAACAACCCCAGGACAGGAGCTGAGGGACTGAGCAAGCATCCTGCCGAGGAGGAGCTCGGGCTGTGGCGAAGGCCAATGTGCGCTCAGCCAAGGCACCCTCGGCACAAACGCAGTAGATCACGTCCTGGGTCGTGCTGAGGAATGTGGCCGGCAGAGCAGGGACTCCTACATCCCCACCTCTCCCGGCCGGGGGGCCACACTGGGGCTGCCCAGCTCTGGGATGGTCTCCATCCTTGGAGGTGCTCCTGCCACGGCCAAAGCCATGGCCAACCTGGTCTTCTGCTGGCATCAGCCCTGCAGCAGGCTGGACCAGAGACCTCTGGAAGTTCTGTGCCACCAGCACTCCTAAATCTACAAGATGAAGTTTGAATTCAGCTCAGTGACCAAGCCAAGACCTCAGTGCAGCATCTCAGAATCACAGAATCATTAAGGTTGGAAAAGACCTCTAAGGTCATCAAGTCCAACCGTCAACCCAACCCCACCATGCCTGCTAAACCATGTCCCAAAGTGCCACATCTACATGTTTGTGAACCCCTCCAGGGATGGGGACTCCACCATCTCCCTGGGCAGCCTGGTCCAATGCCTGACCACCCTTTCTGTGAAGAAATTTTTCCTAATATCCAATCTAAACCTCCCCTGACGCAACTTGAGGCCATTGCCTCGTCCTATCGCTAGTTAGTTGGGAGAAGAGACCAACACCCACCTCACTACACCCTCCTGTCAAGCAGCTGTAGAGAGCGAGAAGGTCTCCCCTCAGCCTCCTCTTCTCCAGACTAATCTTTCACCAGTGCCCTTACGAGAGGGGTCTTCAGAGGAACGAAGCTATGGTGAAGTGCTATCGGCTGTGAGAAACGGGCTGAAGAAGGTTGCGCAGCAACACCAGAACGCCCCGCGCTCCAGCAGCAGCGGGAAACGCAGCCGCGGATGAAACGAGGCGGCAGCAGCACGAACGGGGTTTGGCAAACGCCACCTTTGCCTCGGCAGAAGCTCTTGCAGAAACAACCTCGCTCGATCGCGCGCACCCGGCGGGGCTGAACTGAAACCACAACCGGACCAAGGCAACGCGGTGCACGTCTGCACGCAGCGGAGCTCAGCACGCCCTTCTGCCCCAGTGCAGGGTGCTGCAGCACCAAACAGAGCGTCGGAAGCGAACGGAGAAGAGCGAACCTCTTCTTCTGCAGCTTTACGATGAGATCAACAGCTGGAAACTCTGTGTGGTTTTAGACACCCACTCGCACAGACACCGCAGAGAGGGAATCGAGCGTCAAGCGACGAGCGGAAGGGAAGGACACGCATGTAAATGGCGCAGAGCAAGGGCGCTGCTGAAGCAGCTCAGCAGAGACGCGACGGACAGCGTAACGCTGAGAACGACCACTGCTCCTCAATTCTTGCACGAAGGATGCTCAGCTCAGCCCTTCTGTCTTTCTCTGGGCTCCCAAGCTGGTGCACCAGCCTCCACACCTCCAGAGCGGTGGAAGCGCTTGGGAAAGCAGGATCCAAACAGACGGTGCAAGCTGGTTGTCCACAACTGAACTGGTGTGTAAGTCTACCCTCACCTAAGCAAGGCTACGCCCCGCTCCTGCAAGGGCTCCCCAGGCTGCTTCTGTGGATGGCGATCAAACTTCCCAACACCAGCACAAGCTTTCACCCATTTTTATGGATTAGCCAGTCCAACGAAGCCTCCACAACCCGCTCCCAAGAGCATCCCGCTCTGTCGGGAAGACGGCCGCGCCAGCCAAGGGGAATCCGCTTCACCCCCTTTCATCCGGGTGCTGCGGGGGCAGCCCCGGGCAGCCCCGAGGAGCCGTACCTGCTGCCCCGCCGCTGCGGGGGCATGCTCGTGCTCCACAGCCACCGGGCCCGCTCCATCTCCTCACACTTGCCATGCCGAGCAGAGAAGGCCGAATCAGACAAGTCCTCGATCTGGAAAGGGAAGGGTACAGGGTTCAGTCAGAGCTTTCTTGTATTAAACAGGCATCCATGTGCAGACCTTAGAGCAGCTGCCAGTACCGGAAGGGGCCGACAGGAAGGATGGAGAGGGGCTTTTCACAAGGGTGTGTAGGGACCGGACAAGGGGGGATGGGTCCCAACAAA